TGCCCCTTAAATTTAATTATCATGGGAAAAAATATACATATAGGAGTAGGTTTTTTTAAAAGGATCTTCTGGTACACAAGTGCTTTTGGTAAAAATCAAGTATTCATTGTATTCAATAAATATTTTACAAGAATATTTTCAGTATATTTTTGTATGAGTCTCAACACTACAACCCTAACCATATATCAGGCACATGCAGCTCAGTAGTCTCATTAAGACTCCAGCTCTATAATGGTTTATGAAGACCACTGGTATTTTTCACAAAGCTTGTTTTAAACACCATTGTCACATTTATTTTTTTTTCCTTTGTATCTTACATTTTTCCATTTTAAAATCCTCTTGGCCGTGTAACCCCAGGACTGTTCCCTGGGCCGGTCTGGCCTCTTCCACTTACAGTGGCATTAAATACCATTACCAAGCGTTCCTTTAATGAAGATTTCCCCACGAGATTTCTACCTGCCACAAACTATTTTAAGCAATTAATGTACTTAGTTTTCTAAAAAAAAATTAAAATGTGAATGGACTTGCAAATAAAGTTAAGACAGCAGCCATGGTGCTGACTGAGTATGGATGGGAGTAAAGCACTAAGCCCAAATAATCAGATCATTTGTATTCTGAAGGTTTACATACAGCAGGTTTTAAGCATTCTAATTATGCAACCAAAAGCCATAAAAATGGTTAAAATAAGCAACTGTAATTGCTAAAAACACAGCTGATGCAAACTAGAGAAATCATTGTGGTAAATTTGGATCTCCTGTTGCAACAGCATACAAAAATGAACAGCCTGAGATGCTGTTGGTTAAAGAAAACAAGTGGTGCGGTTGGAAAAGTTGCTGTCATTCTCTACAGGTCTTGCTCTGGTTACCCCCATGACACACCGCAGCCAGCATAACAAACGCTGTTATAGTTTAATATCATCCGCAGGCTGTCTGAAGCGTATCAGCATAAAACTGAATATCCAATTCCTTGCCAATCAGCACAGTGCTGCCAGGACACAAGCAAGGCAAACACTTCTCCTAGCTGCTGGTGCTCTTTTCTTTTCTTTTTTTTTTTTTTATTAACATTAAAAAACCTCGGAATACTCAATTATTTTTTTCCATTAGCAGGTTAATGGGAATACATGCAGAGCATACAGAAATGGGAGATCAAAAGCCTTCAAATGTTTAGAAGTGGAAGCTTGAGAGAAAGCCCTAGCAAGAGAGCAGGAGAATAAAATTAAAAATAAAAAGAAAAGGAAAAAAAAAAAAGCATAAAATAAAAATAAAGTATGAAATAGAAAATAAAATAAAATAAAAATAAAATAAACTAAAATAAATAAAAATAAAATAAAATAAATAAAATAAATAAAATAAAATAAAATAAAATAAAATAACATAAAATAAAATAAATAAATAAAATAAATATTTTTGGAAGCGCTAGCTTATAGGAATATCCTGTAGCTACCTGGGCACAGCCGACCAGCATCATGGGGCAGAGAAGTGGCTAGAGGAGGTGGGGGGGTCTCGTGGCCACCCCTAGGGTGGCAGGACAGGAGCATGTCCCCTCCCAAGGGGCTGCGGGGAACAGCCCAGCCTGTATGAGAGGCCCATGGTGCACACAAGGAAGCTCTGTCCTCTGCTCTATCTGCAGCCCTGGGACTGCTGAAAGAATTACAGACCTGTTTTAATTGCCAGTCCCTGATTAATCGGAGCACTTTTTGTCAGCACCGCATCCAGACATGTTTTGGCACGCGGTTGGAAGCATGGTTTAGAAGGACTCACACTCCCCTAGCTCTGCGCATGTCAATAATGATGGTGCATTTCAGAGAAGTGCAACAAATGATGCTGAGACTGAAAGCCTGTCATCACAGAACCACCAAAGTGGAACAGAGAGAGAGTTAGAGCCAAGGTTTTCAATGAGATTTCTCTGAGAACAGCAAATCTGCAATCAACCATTTTTAATTCAGTGTCCATGGCTACCTTCCAGAACTGGAACTGTGAGCTTGATCAATTACCTTTATTTCCACAGTTAGGAGATTTTTGAGCATTTATGTATGATAGCTGGATGTATTTTGCCTTTAATTTCAATGTATTGGCACCCCAAATCAAAATAATCCGAACATATTTTCAAATACCTTTGGCCCATCCTAGATCCCTTAGCCACGTTGCCCCATCCTTAAAATCCTACTTTTTAAAGCAACGTATAATCCATCAGTACCCGAATTGAGGCATTTGCAAAATGCCTTTTGAACTGGTTTTTACTGCAGTAATGATTATCTTTTCTGGACGCAGCAATCAATGAAAATTAACAGAAGATTGTCAAAGGTCTCCTAGCAGAATTTCTGGTTACCAAGGAGATTTCATTGGGGATCTTCTGCTGAGAATATAAGGATGAAAGAAACACAAGACCTAGAGTAGACAGTACAAGCCAGTGTTTCCATACAGGATGATTTGCAGGCACTCCCTTGTTAGCTGGTATTTTAAAAGAGAAGTTAGAGAAAATATTTGTATTCGGATTCATATCATGTCCCAGACACCTGCTGGGAATTTCAATTTTTCAGTTTCAATTCATAAATCCAATGCAACTTTCTTGCAGGCCCATCTTATCCACAAACGCTACCAAGTGTTTGCAGAAATCCTACTGAGAATATCTTCTGTAATTTTATGAGCGTGTTTGTTGTATGGGCAGAATTGCTTGTTAAAATACGACCACGTGGCAGCTGCACAGAGACTACAAATGTTGAATCTAAATAACCAAAGCCACAACAAAGCAAGAGCCTAATGAGGTTCCTGTGCCTGAGGACAGCAGCACTGACCCTCACTTGTCATGCATATGATTTTCACAGCACTCTAATGTTCCCCAGGCATTTCACCGAGGAGGATGATTTTTGCCTGAGCTCACAAGGCAGAGCAAGGCAGGGAGCAGCGCCAGCCCAGGCAGAAGCAGGAAGGCAGCTCTAAGATTCAGTCAGCATCCTTGAAGTGTTATCAGCAAGGCAAACAGCCACAGGGCATTTGGTTTGGGGGGCACTCCCCAAAATAACCACCGCAGGTTCTGCTGCACAACTTTAACGTGAGGGTGGTCAGTGTGCAGCTGGAGATCAGACACTGAAGGGTCTCTGAAGGAGAAGCCACTTTATTATAGCTATAAAAATTGTCCACGGCCCTCTTTGAGGATCATCTTCTGGCTCTAGCCATAAATCACAAAGAAGTGAGCTCTGGCAAACACCTCTGCTCTGTGAATCTGGACAGAAAATGGAGAAGAGACTGTAAGGCTAATCTGCAATTTATTCCCTTCTAAGATCTTCACCTATTTCACAGACAACAAAAGCTCACCAGGGCACTAGCAGCCAACCAAGCCTAAAAAAACACAGGCAGAGGAACAGATACAGGAATTGGAGTCTTTGGGTTTTGCTTCCATAGCTCGCTACAAGCAACAAAAGCCATGGGTAAGATTACTGAGTTTCTAAGCTGTCTAACTGCCCTTTCGAACCAGCCTTTTCCCAGTTTTGCTGTCAGCAGAATAGGGATTAATTTTTTGTTAAACAGCACTTTTAACAGAGCTTGGCCTGTTGGGTTTGCACTGAAACCCTGAAACAAGTCAGTACGTGAAAACACATCAGGCACAGGGCGACAGGAACCATCCCCATGTGGGGACGCCTCCATCCCCATGGACCACGACCACATCCCAAATTTATCCTCACATCTCCCACGTGAGACAGGACAGCTATTGATTGGAGAGGCACGGAAAGTCCACATAATCTGGTCACTCAGGGAAAGTGTGGTTGGGCTGGGAGCCAAGCAGCACCTGCACTCATCTTTGGCCAACAGCCATTGTTTTACCTCTGCTTAAATACAGCCGAAGCTTGCCTCCCCTGGGAATTATTTATAATGCTTTTTCTTTTCAGTATTTATCATTCTTTTTTTTAGCTTGGCTTCTACCAGCTTACCTCTCAGGATGCAAGGAGACTGTAGGACTTTCTTCATGCCTTTGTCTTCTTAAGAACAGATTGCAAAGCAGAAGGCAAGATTTCAAAGATGCTGGAGCAAGCAGGAAACTTAAATTAGATGGCACAGGTCTGACACGGCTGCTGATGAACCAGCCCTCAACACCTGTGAGGTGGGCATTCCTCTATCTTCCCAACTGAACGTGCTCTTTGCAGCCAAGTAAGCACTAATGTGCCAAGAGCCTAGTGGGCTCCAGTCCCAGGAGATTGCACCCTGAAGGGACAAGACCCAGCACTTGCACCCGGAGATGAAAAAGTCCTGCTTGTGGCAAGGCTGTGGCTTCAGGCAAGCCAAGTTTCATATAATAGCCAGATGAAAAATTATGTATGTACATCCTTAAAGGCAACAGTAAATCTAACATTTTAATCTACCCAGGCTACTCACCACTCCTTTGCGTGGCTTGCAGAACCTTGAGGTTTGTGCATTTTAAATAGCCATGTCAGAGTGGTTGCACACTGTGCAGCAGCAGTACGATACATGTCTGGATGAAGAACAACTATCACCAGTGAGTTGCCCTTAAAATCACACAAAGCTTTGATGGTGGCCATGGCAGTGGCTAGTGAAGACCATAGAACCAAGGCAGGCCGGGAGAATATGCTTCATAAAAGGTAATGCAACCTCTGAAAGTCAAAGATGCAACTGTTTTTGCACTCTTCCATCTCCCCTGCCTCAGCCTGCCTGAATCTCCCGTGGCTTTAACAACCAGAGGAGAGCAGTTCTGCAGCCTGCTGCTTCCTGACTCCTTCCCAAACCTGTCTGACATAAATGTCAACACGATGCAGTACGAGGAGCAGTTGCTGATGCACGTTGATGACCACCATAAAGTATCTAAAGGAATTACCGTGTTGGAAAGGGTAGATATTTCAGGGCAGAAACCCGACTTCTAAGTTTCCAAAGGAGAGGCAGATGAGTTACATTGGGAGGTGTTTCTTGGCTGTCACTTTTGCTCTGTGTCACCCTCATTGTCACGCACGTGGCTATGGATGTGGCTATGCAACAAACACCAACAGGCACTCAGCTAGCATCATTTGTTTAATAAAGTCTTTTCTGGTTTTAAAAAAGTTTACAAGACAGATGTGTTTCACATGATAAACAACTAGTGGCTGATCTTTCCTTTTAATAACTTAACCCATGCAGAAAGACTAGACTGCCTAACTTGGTGTTACAGAGCAGCTGAACAATATACCAAAATACACACAGACCTACAGGCTGCCATGGAAACAGGTAGCACATGACATCAGAGAATGAGAATCAAAGTACAAGCTTGCTTGGATAACTTTCAGAATTCAAGTGTAAGTTTAAGGAAAAACCCTGATTTATTTTTGAAATGGCATTTATGTACTGACAGTGAATGTTCTGCTACAATCTGCCTACAGTCATCCTTTATTCAGCAGTCATGTGAAAACACATACACAAAAATGTTACAAGTCCTTTTACTACTGATACTACACATTAACAACTGAATCTGATAGCATTGCTTTGGTTGTTTCGATACAGAATGATATAGGTTTCTATTGTCTTGGTTCTGTTTTTCCATTTTCCATTCCTATCCAAAGTCCTCGAAGAGTGGTGCTGAGGTGAATGTCTGTAAGGTCTCTCCTCAAGAATCCAGTGTAGCTTTTGTATGAGAAACTCTGGAAGGCAAACAAACAGAAACGTTACTGTAGGTAGAGTATAAAAGTACAGGGTTCCTTCAACTCACATGGACAGAAGTATCTTGACTTCCTGTCATGGCATGAAATTTAATGCTAGGTTGCAACATTTTAGAAATGTTCAGCAACCTAGATTTTCAAATGCTGTTAGAAAGGTCAGGCTGATTAAAGCACTCATAAGACATGCAAACTCCTGCCCTCTAAAACGCTCTTGTATCAACACAGAACCCAGAAACTGTGGGGGAAAGCTTGTGTTCCTGTAGCATGGCAGTAAGGCCAACAGTTGTTGAAAAACTGTACGTTCTCATTTTAGTTACTAAGACAACATCCTCCTTCCCAATGTGCCTACTCATCACCAATATTAAAACAAGAGGATACACTGAGGGGAGGGGAACTGTAGCTTCCAGTTCTAGTCTGTCTCCAACTTCCAAAATCTTTCCCACTTCCATTGCTAGGGATGATTTTGAGACAGGCAGAGAAACATGACCATGTATCTCTCAGCACTGAAGAGCACAAAGCAGGATTCTCAGTTAAGTCATTGCTGTGCTCTAAGACCAACCTTTTGGAACTTCAGTCAGCCTGAAAACAGTCGTGGCTGGGCCAGATTCAAGACACGCACCTCCAGCCAAACACACAGCTAAGGAGAGGTTTTCACCCACTTCTACATTCTGGCATTCTGCTCTGCCAACTGCAGATCAAAAAGCTTACCCACCAGCAAGATTACCAGAATTTCACCTTTCAACACTTCGAATGTAACTCTCTGTAGACTCCAGGTACTGCTTCAGTGAAGTACCCGGGGTTAGAGACTGCCAAGCAGGAGGACAAAACTTTATAGGAGTGAAAAGCCATACCTGAGGCCTGCTTTGGAGGAGCTAAGGCTCTCTTTCCGAAGACACGTCTCCTTCTGCTCCACTGCTTGCGCTGGGGTCATCCTTGTTACGGGGGGCATTTCTTTCTCTACTTGATTCAGAGGGTACCTTGGTTCTGGTCTTCTCTTTTCTTTGCTGTTGCTTTTCAAGTTTTGTCAGCTATTTTCAAAGAAAGGAAAGTGAGAAAACACTTTATGGAATAAAGTCATTTCAGAAGACAGTATTTCTAAAAAATTGTAAATGTGAGCATTTGTAGCACACTGGTAACTTAGATTCATAATAGCTATACATATATCATTGAGAAACAAAAGAAAAAAAAAGGCTTAGATTTTCAGGTATTTGGAAGAGGACAGTGAATCATGGTCACTAGCGTGACCATGACCCCTCCTAGTGTAAATGAGAAGTGCGCATATTCAAAGGACTATCCTCTGCTTTTTCTCTGAGTTCCTTTCCTGCTTGCTCAATGCACTCTGTCAATGTAGAAACAAATAAAACACAAGGACCAGAAGGGGTGGCTGGATTCCACCAACCTCCTGTTCTGCTTTGGGTCTTAAGTAGCAGTGTCACAGTCTGCAGGTCTCTAACAAGTTCAGGCATCCATTCATACAATACATTTATTTCTACTAGGAAAAAAAAAAAAAGAGAAAGAAAAGACAGATGAACTTTAGCATCACATAGGACATAGAATAACCATTTCAAATCAGCTTGGACAAAGCCTTCAGCTAACACCACCTTGCCACCTCTCCACAGAGATATTATCAATGCTTCTAGAAAAGTCAAACTAAGCTGCACTTAGCTGTCACTGTTACATCTCTTTCCCACTTTTCAGAAGCAGGTTGCAGTAAGTTTTGGGGAAGCTACAAACTGATAGTTACTTAAATCACTATGGACACTGCGTGCAGTCCATCAGCTTGGTCAATTTCTGTAATTTTCTGATTTTCTCAAGTGCTTCCATGATGATTCCCCCAGGATAAAACATGCTACTCATAAGTTGTCACTTCATGGCCAGCAGATCTTTTCCGAGGTGAAATCTTCAAGAATCGAGTAAGCGAGATTAAGTGTGTTGATTATGAATTAGACAAGCTTGTGGAAGATGAATGTGAAGATGTAAATCTGCAAGCCACTATGAGCTTTGTGGGCAGAATGCAGAGTCTGGGGAGGATGCACAGCATCCCCTTGTACCTCATGGCACATACACACCATCCTTACATACCTGCACACATGGGCTACTTGTCTGAAACAGAGTACAATGCATCTATTTAGCATGATCCAGTCCTTGGCACATGCAGATATGTAACAAGCACCCAGGGCATGATACAGACAATATTCTAACTCACGTGTCTGATAAATGCACATTACTATTCTGCCAACAAGCCTACATAAACAGCACGTGAATGTTAAAAGTGACTGAGAAAGTGAGTGCATCTGCAAGAAGAGAAACAAATGTTTGAGAGCCCTTACTATTAAAGGTGCTAAGCACTGATTAACAGTACTTGCATGATGTCTATGTCTATGCAGTTGGTTTTTATTTATACAAATGGCACTGGGCTCATTCTGCTGCTAAAACCAGGTTTTTGGAGACCTTCAGAGAACAAAAATGTATTGAAGTGGAAAGGCACGGTATTAGCTGCAGGCTGCAGAAAGCACAGTTCCTAGGTTGCAAAATATTTATTTGTTCACCTTTAAATACCGACATCATTTATCATTGATGTGTGTATATATCATTCCTCCCTGGCCTTCAACCTAACAGTTGGTAACTACAAAGTACGCCCAACGCAAAGCCAAACCAGGCAAACCTGTTGTAACAAACCTGTAAACTAAACAGCTGCTGCAGCTGGTACCCCTTTCTTTTACTGTAGCATCCTGGCTCTCAGCAGTGACCCTTTCTCAGCAATAATGGTGCAGAAAAAGTGTCTGGGTAGCACATAGTTTTGTAATGTAACTCCATGAAACAGGAAAATCCACTCCTCTCTAACTAGCGTTCTCTTTCTCATTACTTGAAAGAAAAAAAAAAAAAAAAGCCTAAATCACATAGACACAATAATTTAAATTGAATTACCTTTTCCTTTGAGGAGCTAACCCAATAAAGCCAACCCCAGATTTCCCAAACATGGGAAACAGTGGCGTGTTCACACTGTGAACCTTGCATTATGGAATACAGGATCCACGTAAATAAGATATATTTGTTCATATATAATTTACACGGAGGCAGAAATGGCTCGATATATACTAGCATGCCATATTAGCATTTCAAACATGCTTATACTGGCCAGTTTCCAAGGTGGTCTTGAGGGCAAGTAGCATGCTAAGACTTCTGAAGTATACATAGTTATATATCTTGGGCTTATAAATTTATTTATGTACATTTAGTCTTAAGTACAAAGGGATCAAATTCTCTTTTGAAATCTCTGTAGTATTTATATTCTAGAGTAAAAAGTAAGCAACAATTTCTAAAGTTATGACATAAATTTATCACGAAGGACCTCATAAATTACCACTGTTTCTGTAGCCAATTAGTTTGAGAATGGTGTAGTGGAGAAGCACTGATGGCAAACAGAATAACCAGAGAAAAATCCAGATCCATCTTCACACCTAGCTCTGTAGCATGCCCAAGACTGTAAGCATGACAACCCAACTAAACCTCTTCCTCACATCTTTAATAGATGAAGAAGAAACAACACCAGGAATAACCCTGAATTTATAGAACAATGCCCATGTTGGCATGATCTGACAGCAGTACTCACCCAGCTCAAAGAAAAATGACAAGTTCATTTATATGAGGGAAGAGGATAATTTTAATCCATGTCTTATTATAAACAAAAATTAAAAATTTATTGTAAATTATAATAAATTAAAGTTTGTAAATGAACTGTTTCATCCATCTAAAACTCAAGTAACACTGAAATAAATAAAGATTTGTGTGTACCTATGGCCATACACACTCACACGCATGCTCTGCAGTCTGTGCATGTACCGTGACCAGCCTATAAACCAAAGTTTGGGCACAGAGATGAAATATGTATGTCTCTGTACTCACAAAATAGACTGATTTTCATTATGCAGGCAATAAAAGAATTACGTATCTCTTAAGTTTTTCATGTCCTTGCTTATAAAGCGCTTGGTTGATTGAAAAGGACATTACAGAAGCATGCTCTGCCACAAAAGACCTGCCTGCAAGCTGAAAAAAAATAATGATGGCTCATTTTTTAGTATTACAGCAAATAACTCTTCAGATAGACAATTCCAGCTCAATGAAATGTATCATTAATACTTTTCATGTAAGTACAGAGTGTGTTGACAGTTATCATCTCATCTTTAGACCTATCATGAGCTGTTTGTGTCTACTGCACCACGATGCTTGCTGGCTAGCTGCGGAGATGGCGCACCTGTATGGGAAGCACCTAACTCTACATCTAAAATCCTAAATTAAGGCTGAGACCCCTTGGAAGGCTCCTCAGCATTCAAAGCATGGCCCTCTTACAGCAGATGCAGCACTGTCTTGTAGCAAAAGCACTGTGTGTGCTGATGATGCAAAGCTGAGCGGTCAGCAGCGTGAGAAGGCTGAGGAGGAGGCAGACAGCTGGAGCCCACCACACCACAGCCAAACCCTGCTGGCCCCACCAGTACACAGAGGAGGGAAGGAGGCCAGTAACGCAGAAGAATGGAAGCTTAAAATGGCAAGGACCAGCAAGAGGAAGAGACTTCCCCCAGGCCTGAGGTGCCCTGGCAGAACTGTTCCACTGCTCTGCGCGCTGAGGATGAAGGACAGGTCACACGAGAGGAGATGGCGGGGCTGACTAAACCAGCCCGATCTGCTCCCTGAGTAACTACCAGTGTGACGGGTGATAGTAGTGGGTGACCCTCTTCTGAGAGGTACGGGGAGAAGCCTGCTCTTCTGGGGTCGGATGGGGTCTGTCTGTCTGAGGAGAGAAAAAGCATCTTTAGTTACAGGCAAAGAGGGCTTTAAACTACAGCTGCTGGGCACAGGGAACGCTGGTCAGCATCAGCAGTGGCTGCCCGGAGAGAAGAAAAGGAGCTGAGGTCAGTGACAGCACCTTAAGAGCAGCAGTCAGCTTCCTTAGGGCCCAACTTAAATGCTTCTTCACAAACAAGAAAGAGGAGCTGGAATTTTAGCCCTGTCTTAGAGCTATGATGCCACAGGCCTCAGTGAGGTGTGTGAGGTGAGCTGAGAAGGGTGGCTACAGGCATTGAGGAGGGACAGGCAGGGAAGGAGAGGAGGGAGGTAGGCCTCTACAGAAGGGTCTTGATGTTGTGGAGCTTAGTTATGGTGATGGAAGGGTTGAGCACCTTTCAGTAAGGCCAACAAGGGAGATAATGTGGTAGGAGCATGTTACAGACCACCTCATCAGGATGAAGAAGCAGACAAAATATTCTATAATAATTTAATTCTACAGTAATTTAATGATAAATTATTGAAAGTCTCTTGGTGAGCACTGCTGTCAGCTCCTTCAGTTGCGTCAAGGAAGGTTTAGATGGGATATCGGGAAGAATTTCTTCAGGGAAATTGGGCAGGCACTGGAACAGGCTGCACAGGGAGGTAGTGGAGTCACCACCCTGGGGATATTTAAGAGACACGTGGATGTGGCACTTAGGGACATGGTTTAGCGTTGGAGTGGGTAGGGTTAGGTTGATGGTTGGACTTTATGATCAAAGGGTCTCTGCTCACCTAAGCAATTCTGTGATCCTGTGTGTAGTGCGGTTATGTCTGCACAAGCACTGAAACATTCACATTTATAACACGAGACCAGACATCCTCTGTGTTGAGCTATGACATGTAAACATACCACAGACAAAAATATGGGCACAGGATTAGAATCGGGACCCCTCAAGCCCTTTAGACAGCCTTACGTACAGACCAAACAGGAGTAACAAAGCCTGAAAAATCACACAGAATAATTTCAGATGTAAACCTGCAAATGCTGATCATTTTATCTAAAGGCACAGTACCCCAGCATGGCTCCATGTTACAACTTTGGCAAGAATCACAACCCACAAACAGATCAGTTGTTCAGAAACTACTAGCCAGCAGTCAAAATCTGTGCTTTGCCTCCCTGGGGAATCAGTATCTGGTCTGAGCCTGCTGCTGAATTTCCTAAGCATGGAAGAAGTCAGAAAGATCTTGAAATATCTCAAGTGTCCAAGACCATCTTCCTCATGACAATACACAAAAATACAAGTCTTCAGTCCACAGAAACTAACTTTTCTTATCTGCCGTTGCAATACAGATATTCGACACTGCTGGGACACTGCTGATAAACAAGACATTTTGAACCTGTGGACACTGCTTCCTTCCCAACAGATTGTCTGAAATACAGAGTAACAGTTTTGGAAAAAGGTCAGAATTTACATTTGGTTTGACAGCTTCTTTGGCACATCCTAGCTTGATGCAATTTAATAGTACATCACAGGCATGAAAAAAAAAAAAAAAGAAAATGAAGTAATTATAGTGGAAAGCTAGGCTGCTCTTTGAAACGTTTCACTATTCAGAAATGTCTGCCATTCCATCAGCTGTAATACCATGATACATTACTTTTGAAACCAATTTGCTGTAGGATGAACATGCATACTAGCACAAGAAGTCCCCCACTTGAAAATACTAATAATTCTCTGGGTTGTTTGTTTTGCTCAAGTTAATTTCCCACATCCTAAATCTCCTCACTGTCAGTCTTCCTTGAACAAACAAATACACCCAGCGTTCCTGATTTTCTGTGATCAATGTGTACACAGAGATTGATTTCTGCTCTCCAGACAGCTTTTCCTTTATTTAACCATCAATAACACCAGGAAAAAGTGAATGACACCATTGGCGGAATTGTTCTGTCAGCAGTCTGCCAGAAAATCAGTGGCAGTACTCATGTTTCTGGAACCACAAGATGATTTGCAGATGTATGTTTTAAATTTCAGTACTTGTGTCCAAGCTGCTACAATTTCAAACCTCAAAGTAAAAAATGAAGAGGAGAAGAGGGGAGGGATTACAACAACTTTAAGGATAGGCTACATTTCCAAGAGACAAATCCTTCAAACTATCATAGGGTCACTACAAATAAAGCAGTTTAGTACTAATATCACTAAGTGACGACAGCACAGAGATAAAATGATTATTAGAGCTTTACTGCAAAAATAAAGCCACTGAAAGGCTGTGGCACAAGGACTGTCTCACAGCCTGCTAAGAAGGCAGCACATCATCTAACTTCTTCATTTTCCTTTCCACATATCTGTACCTTAGTCTTATGATCAAAGCATTATCAGCTTTTTTTCCTTAAGAAGAGGACAGGATCCTTTAGGCCAATGAGCAGCTCACGCACGGAATTGCATACTTCATTTTGTTCCTAAAAGAAACGTAAGCAGCATACAATCAAGTTACAGTATCTGTAACTTCAGCTTGAGGCAAGAGAAGTGGTACCTGCCGTTCATCAGTTAGCCTGGTCTAACTGTCCTCCCAGGGGCTTGGAAAAATTCCCTAGCAGAGCAGTTTATCCCTGCGTGGGGATATCTCCACTTGTTCTCCTCCCCATTCTTTATCACCAGTGATACTGATAACAAGCTGAGCTCTTTTTGGTTCATTTTTCTCACCAAAACTTCTGGTATAAGAAAATGAACTCTTAGGTTTCGGGTTTGTTTAATAAGTAAGCTCAGCATAACTGGAAGAAGGCAAGTATCAGAGAGGCAACACAACATCTAGGAAAAACATCAGCTAAAAGAGTTGAGGAGAGGACTGTACTTTACTTCTCATATGGTGCATATGTCAACATGGGTAGGAAATAAAACTAGATTAAAAAGAAAAATCAGGGAAAATCTATTCCTCCTGCAGATGGAGGCCGTCACCATACAGCCATTTACCATAGATTAGGATCACAAAATATTTGACACCAGCTGCATAAGTACAATGGTACTGATCACACAATACTAAAACAATCTCCATCCTTCCCCAAAACAAAAACACAAGCTGAAGCAATACTCTCTTGGGGGAACCAAAACACCTTCACACCTTGTGGTTTGTTTTTTTCACTTGTGTCCATGTCACTTCCCCTAAAACTTCTTCTCACTTTTTTTCCATTCGGCTGCTTCTACTAGCTACAAAATCCTTTGAAACAAGCCACGTTATCTCTTTAGCTTTCCCCAACATAGGATATAAAAACACAAAGCACTCTGGGCATTGCTAACCTAAACTCAGCAATGATCACAACAAACTTAACTGAGATAGCACAGACATCTTTTGTCTTGGTGCCTACCTCTGCAATTATCCAAATGGATGCATGCATATTCAAAAAGGGATTACCCAAAAATTGCTTCATAGGTTAAGGCTGGAAACTGCAGTGCCTGTGATTTGTTACTAGATCATTAAAAAAAATTCTTTTGTTTCCTGCATCGTAACCGCAAGAAATACCCAATCTACCCTCACTGCAAGACTTTTCAGAAACACTTGATCTACCCTCAGAGATGATGTAGGAAATGTAGAACAGTTCAAATGGGAGATCAAGGCACACCATTGCTCTGCCATCCACATTTCTACAAGTTATATTTTCCCAGCAAATCAGCAGCAGCTCCATTCCTCCACAGGGGAATGTGAGTGCTTACATCTGCTAGCCCTTAATCCAAAGACAGAGCTGCTGCTGCTCCTAATTATGTATGGCCTGGGCTGTGAACTCTGTGCTACAGCTGTGAGAGTACAGACAGGCAGAGAACAGGTGTGTGTAGCTCTTTTAGGGGCTAAAACATCACAAAAGGATGCAGAGCAGAATTTGAAGATATAAAAAAAACTCCAAAACAATATAGCCTAGCTATTTAAGGCAACAAAAATAAGCAGCTGCATGCTGTTTACAGCTTGTTAGCTTGTACAATTTTAATTCCAATGCTTTCTCTTCTCAAATGCTTTAGCCATACATACCACATCAGTATGATTGGTTCACCTGCTGCTAATCACGTATGGTCTCATCACCAGTCTGAAGAATTGAATGATTTTACTGCAACTGATCCTTTGCTCAGCATTGCAGTACAGATCGCTGATAGAGACCTTTTGTCATTTAAACAGAAAGACTAAACTGAATCTCAAAAATTTAGATTAAAAGTAGGCAAACGTGGAATAATCCCAGAGCAGAATCAGATAGGTTTTGCTATCTTGGTACATTTATCTTGGTACAGACAGCATTCCTCTCTTCATACACACAAATAAACAATAGCAAACAGGATGAAAAACATCTGTGACCATGGGAAACAAGATAATTGGGATGGATTTAAACTGCCGAAGTGTTACAAAGACTTAGCCTAAGATTCTAGCTGTAAAGCCCTGGAAAAGATTACCCCATTAAGCACTGGCATCTCCATCCCTGGAGGTTTTTCAGAATCCAATAGCCAACCCTCTGACAGAAATGCACTTGCTCTGGCTGGCCTGGCTGTTGTGCAGGGTGACAGAACTGCTTAACCTCCAGCTAACAACAGCACCCACATACTAGCAAAACTTCTTCCTTGCCCAAACACTGAAGGAGTTGGAGAAGGTGACCTACACAAGTCCCTTCCAACCTCAACCGCTCTGTAATTCTGTAATTAGGGAAACGGTGTATGAGAAGCTAAATAGTCAGAAATACCAAATACCAAAATACCAATTAAGCTGTTACATTAGCACTAGGATAAATTTGATTCTGTTCTGTCTGATATTCTCCACTCAATGCCTACTTTCATCTTTAAGATAGCTCAAGGTAAAGTATTTGTCAGTATAGCACTGCTTTCATCAGTTACTGTTATGAATACCTTTAATTAAGAAAATTAATAGGTTTGAGATATGCAAAGGGAGTTTATCTACAAGATATTACTTCAGCTTTTAGCTAGCCTGTTTGTGCAACATGACGCTCAAAGACACAGTGAGCAAGCAAAGGAAGTGCTTTAAATCACCATATTATTGTTCTTGTGTACCCTCTCCTGGTGCCTGTGAGTTGGTTTGTTTTTGTTGTTTAATTTCTTGATGTAGACTTTTTTTTTCAGTTGACAACCTCTTTCAATAGTAAGAATTCATAATTTTAAGGAGAAACTACTGTATAAGAGACAATGCTTTAGACTGTCCCATGTTCTTTTCCCATTAGTCTCCAAATGCCTTAAGTATGGTGGGTTTTTTGAGCTACGAAGAATTCCCAGGAGATGCATAACTCCCTGTATTTTCCAACCTCTGTTAGAACACAAGAGGGAAAAACAGAACAGTGTGCATGAACCCGCCAACTCTGAAGAAAGAGCTCTGCTGCCACAGAATGCCTTACATGCCAGTATTCCCAAGTACACATAAACGCAGATGTATGAATTCACAGAGGAGGCACAGCCCCATACATCTGCCCTTTCCAGGCTCGTTTACCTGTTTAGGGTCGACAGCTGCAGCCGGGGACTCCAGCTCTATTGTTACAGGACCGTCGTTCTGGATGTGTACCTGCATGTAGGCACCAAACTTGCCATCTGAAAAGGGAAGAGACAGAAGGGCTGAAAGGATAACACGTACCAAAATCTTTCCCAAATGTGCTACTTAAATAAGCATAAGTAAATAAAGGACAGCCAAGTAAAGAACTGCAGAAAGTTACTAAGAAAAAAGTCTACATGCGCTCAGCTTTGTGCTCTGATATTCAGAGACAACAAACACACAGCAAAGTACAGAGATGTCCACAAAACAGAACAAGTCCACAGATAATCAGACTTCAGGTGAGGCAGGACACTTCTCATAGGCAGGAGACAAAATTTTAAAGGATGTAACAGTTTAAGTCTAGGGATCCAGTCCAACTAATAAGCTGAAGTTTTGAAGAAATCTTAAATATGGGCAAAGGGTTAAAAAAAAAATAAAAAAAGACTATTCTGAAGCACTACTTTTGGACATCAGTTTGCAGGGCAATCCCAATCTGATACAGTAATTCCTATGTTCCTGTCTCCAACCTAGGCCATTCTTTGTAGGAGTTTGGTAAATTGCTTTTGAAAGATTTTTTATTTTTTTTTGAAAGAATACTTTTTAGATAGCTCTCTGTAACCGTATCCTCCCTCTCCTGTACTTTACTCATGAAAAAGGACAGCCATTCACACTTTCCATGCATGTTTGGACCTAAAACAAGCAAACAAAACCCTCCCCAGCACCTTTCTTCAAGTCTGAGAAAGTGGTAGAGAAGCCATCACGTTTACCTGTACCCTCACAGCACTCCCAGGTCACAGCACTTTCTACCTCAATTGTCTCTGCCTCAGAACTGCATTCGAGGGACATCTTTGTAACAGCTCTCTCCCATTCTCCTCATACTTAAACTTCCAGTCTTTTGACCCAAGGAGAATTCACCTCAGGTCAAGGTGAAGCACTGCTCAGAGAGTTTAAGATTAAGAGCTAATGGAAACAGTACTTAAAAGCAGAAAATGCTGCCCTCCTCTGTGGCCTCTCTCTCTTCCAGATATTCCTCTCAGTGCCTTTGAAACACCGCAGTATGAAAGGCAGAGCAGGCTTCAGTCATGGCAATCTCATTCTCTTAAGCAATTTAAAAAGCCATCCAAATGGGAATTTCTTCACATACTCCAAAACTATTGCACTTATTCCAAAATGTCTTGTGGGCCACCACTCGCCTCCATCTCCAAACTACTGATTGCAAACTATATATTACAAAGTTGATCTTGTTCCTAGAAGCAGCTGCCACCCCTCCTTACCAAAAACTGATGTGTCCTGTAGTTTCAGGAACTACAGACCCTGTGCAGCGTGTGCTTTCCTTGTAGGATGCTTTTGGGCTTTTGTGCTGGCAGCTTCTTTATACAACAAAAATAAAGGGTTCTAGCGGTGCACCAGTTAGCATGGCTCTTTTCAAAAAGTGGCCTCACTGCAATACAGTTATTCTCTGCAGCTTGGGGGTCTGGTCTTGCCTAAAAGAGTAAGAGAAAGCTAAAAACTAATTTCACTTCTTACATCAGTACTCATCATTCTATAGCAGTATCTCCCCCAGTGCTGGCTGCCGGTGTAAAAACTTGCTCCTGCCTTCTTTCCCTCATCCCAATGTCAGCAGAAGTTACAGTATCAGGCACTTCACACAGGCTTTCTGAGAGGGCATTTATCATTTTTATGTTTTGGTTTCCTGGAAGTTGAGACACAAGCCTGACTCCTCCTAAAACAGCCAACATGTGTGGTAGTGCTCCATTTTGCATTCACCTCAGAGCGCACCTCTGTGGTACTTGGGCAGAAGGGCTGCGAAGGAGCTGATTGTTCTGCCCTTTAATGCAATTTCTGAAAGTCTGAGGGAGACAAATCCCTCTTCTGCACGGGACTGCGAAGAAACTAAGGATTTGATCTCTTCCATCTCTGTCCCAAGGCAAAACGAAGCCTCTCTGGACTGATTTCATATTTCAGTTAGAAAGAAAGGAGCTGAAAGAATCCACCCTCCTACCATGTCACTTGTTATCCTGGTAATTTTGGGTAAATTTATCCCACACGTGGTCCTGTAATGACCATGGGAAACACTAGCAACTTACCCCTGAATACTATTTCTTTTCCTGCTTTTTATACCACAATGCTCTTCAAAGTAGTAAGCAATTTTAAGACTTCTTAACTGATCGAGTCAGCTCCTTGCAGCCTCCTCTGCAATAAAATAGGATCCTATAAGTGAGAAGTTTATTCTGCTGGCCACCCATCTCTTCAAATTCCTTTGCCCTTAGACTCTGGCACACGCCTTCTTCAGAGGCAAAGAGGATTTTTATCATCTGAGCTGCCAAAGACAAGACAAACCTACGATGTAAAGACTTGAAAATGAAATATAATACACTTTCAGAATATTTTTGGACGTATCTCCAGCCTCATGACCTAGAAATTTCACACTGATTTTATTCAGAAGTTACTTCTAAGCTTGTCTATTTGGAAAGTTATTCCTAATTAACCCCATGTGAGTAACCTTGCTCCAGATAAGCACACTTTATTCCAAAGTGACAACACTCACAAAGGGAATTGATCCGCCAGAATAATTCTGCTTTCATCCTGCACCAGACCTTAATCTGAACTAAACTCCTTGTTGTGGAAAAGTCCTCCCACATTGCCTCAGATCTTGCTATTAAGGCAGGGAGATGTTTCACACTCTTTGCCACGCTAATCCTCACTGCCTCAGAAGATTAATCCACGTTCAGGACAGAGAGCGAAGGCCTGACCCGCAAGGAGAAGCCTTGTGTAGGCCTAGTTTTCAGATACTAGCTTGTGCAGAGTCCTCAGACCTGCATTCACCAGCTCTGTTCCTCACGGTGAATTGAGGTATTTAGGAATTAATTAAGAATTAATTCCACAACAAGAAGTGCCGAATCAAGAGTAGCACTGATTTCTGATGCACCCTTCTCTCCTTTCAAGATACCGTTTGTCAAATGTTCCCCTGCTCGGGGTGTGAGAGAACAGTTTGCACTTCTCTTTGGGGACCACTGGTCACTCTTAGCTCCCAGTTGGCAAGTTCCAGATAAACCACAGGCCAGATGGAGGAGTCGCCTGCCCCAGCATGTGTAGTACCTGAACTTCTGACAGCCAGATGAGACTAAGGAAACAACAGCAGGAGTAGAAAACACAAGGCTCTTAAGCAATACGGCAATACATTCATGAGCCTTTAACTCAGGTACACAAATACCCTTTTAAATAATGAAATGATTCTTCTAAAAGGCATTAAGCGTATTTGCAAGATCACCTACACCACCTGCACCAATCCAGAGAATCAAACTCTAATCTCCTGGTGACTACAGCTGCATGTGTGTGGAGGGGAAATATCTGAGGCCACATTTTGAAGACAGCAGGCAGAGCCTCACGCTGATAAACTAAGCCTATTTTAATAGCCCATCAGCTCATTCATCAGCGCTCCTTCCCAGGGCATCCCCATTACCCTTTGTAACCTAGTGGCACGCAGGACAGACCCCAGGCTCTGTTTTTGTTGTTTTTGGTTTTGTTACAACTTTTTCAGCGCAGAATTCAGTACGTTTGCATGTCGCACTGAATCATAGCCCAGGCATCACAACTGCAAAAATCTCTATTTACTCCCGAGCAGTCCTGCTCGCATGTGGCCAGCCAGCATGCAAAGGCTCCATCTTTTAACCCACCTCAGCTCAGGGGAATTGTAAACTCTGCTGGTGCAACCGCATAGCTTTGCCTGCTATCCCAGAAACTGCCAGGCTACAGAAAGCTTGCACCCACAAATCGATAAAGAAATGAATAGCAGACAAACAAAAAACACTGGCAAAGCAATTGGCACAACAGAAACTTCAATTGTAAGAGACTAACAGGCTTGAATGCAGCCCAGTGCAGGCTGGAACAAAACAGAAATAAAGCAAAATGATAAATTAACAGGTGGTTCCAGTGCTGAAAGCAGTTTCAAATGCATGTGTTATCTGACACAGTAGCACAGGCAGCCACTCTGGCATTTCCAAATCTATGTTTTCAGCATGAAAAAAAAAAGAACAGAAGTGAAGGCTGGCTTTGAAGAAAACATTGGCAATCAGGTGCCAAGATATGGGCACTCAACAGCAGTGGCTATTCATTTCAGGAGTACAACTTATTCACTGAAAAGAGAAGGTTAAAAAGTTGCTGTCAGAATGCACAAAATGCTTGAGAAACAGAGCATTTTCCAAATCCCAAGGATAAAGATGTTGATATGTAAAGATGTTGATACGATCAATCTTTATGGACCTTGTTTAAGCGAAAGAAGCAAGCCCATACCTGCTTTTACTTTACCCAGACAAAGGGGCCCAACTTAATCAAATCTTACCAGAGCAAATTTTATTCCCATTGGCTTCCCAGGAAGTTCTGTTATCTGTTTCAGAGGCACAGGAATGGGTCCTAACTTAATCACAATTCAATAAAAGATAAAAATTAGAAAAGCACACACTCTGAATTTGTTAGACCAGAAGTTTTTTGTTACGGACCAAAAGGAATGCACGGAAGGGGTGTAAGAAGTGCACTCCTTATCACCAGCAAAGGGTGACTGGAAGAATATATCAAGCTATTGGAAAGTTGACATACGACAAGCATTTTATGCACATGTTTCACTGCACCTCCTTGGAAAGCACTTCATAGTAACGGTATCTTACCTTTCATCTACAGTCAACACTGAGATTAACCTCTAAACCTTCCCCCAGCTATTTTGCTGCCCTTTTTCCCCTTTTCCCTCATAAGGAAAGTAAGGCTGACCATATCATGATCTCAATTTTTCTACTTCAGTCTATTAATAACCTCCATTTAAAAAAAAAAAAAGTCCTTCTACACTCATCTTCTGGACAACCATATCAAAAACTCAAGTCTAAATCTGCAAATGGATGGAAAGCAAACAGAAAAGATTAAAGGTGCATAAAGCACAAATGCAAAGGGAAGCCAGGCATTTTCTGGTAAAGAGAAAACTGTTGCATAAACGGCATATAGATGAGGAAAGAGAGTCTACATCAAATGCTGTTTTCAAGCAGCACATTACACCTCCCACTGTCTTCATTATCACTTACCAGAACGCAAAAATAAAGTGACAGATTGAGATGCACTGCCCATCACACACCGGCAATGCCTTCCAGCCTGGCCAACCCCCTACCCCTCAGAAGAAATGCTTGCCCTGGGTGAGCCTGGCACCAGGGCACCCAGCCTTTGAGCAACCTCAGAGCTCGTTCTCATGGCTGCAGCCTCCCTGGGTCATGTGGTCAGTCACTGCTCACACTGTACATCTGACAACAACACAGGAACATCTAAACATCAAACTGTTCCAGAGGAACACCAAGAAATGGCTTGGCTAGAGGAAAGCTGGACTGATCACCCCATCAGGCTGCTTGTAAATGCACTGTAAAACTGCTCATCTATCGCTGCATAAAGACAGCTGCTTTGCAACACATACACTCAGAGAATAAGGTAACAATCACGGAAAAACACACAAATGAGGTCTACTGGTCGCATCAAGGACCTTACCAACCTTTCACCCTTACCTTTAATAAGCTCTGGTTTGTAGGCTTTTCTTAGCTGCTCTAGGAAGTTATTATAAAAACTCTCCGCCTGCTCTGTGGGCATTGCCATGTGGTAGTCGGGTTTGTTTCCTTTCAGGATGCACTGGAGAGTAAACTGGCTCACACACAACACTTCGTACTGTTTATCCATCACACTTTTGGACCAGTGTTTCCCACTTTCATCTTCAAACACTCGCAAGTTTAAGATCTTTCGAACCCTAGAAGGAGAAAAAGATTTACAAAATTTCTAAATTGTCCCATGCAGCATCAACGAGTACAAGTAATAAGTACCACACAGGAAGAGATAAAGGGGATGGCAGATGCACATTCATTCTGCCTCCACATAACAGATCCCTTTGTCCTTTCCTTCCTAAACCACAGAAATATTCTCACATTAGGTAGAGCCATAACAAAGAAAGTCTTGCACACAGACATAATACTATCTGACCATTAATTAACATCTTCTGTCTTTTTGTAGAGAATGAGATCAGGACAGAACGACTGCACATCCATCACTGGGTGACATGAAGATGGGATAATAAGTCAGAAAGCCTGTTCTTTACTATCTGATTTTACAAGTCACAACGTTATTTAACAAGTAGAGCTTTGGCAATTTATTCCTCCTACTGCACTGGGAAATCACACTCATTATGAAATGAGATCATCCTGAACTATGGTTGTTACCAAACATGATTCACACACACTCCTCCAGCTTGGTCTCCCACTAGCATGCATCCCAAACCAGATGCCACAAGCCCTGCAAGGAAAGCACTTTTCCATCAGGACCAAAAGAAAAGCTGAGAACAGTGCAGAAATAGAGGGGGCAGCAAAGTGGTGACCGGGATTTGTCACTTAGATTTGCATTAGGGCTGATGTTTGGATGTGGGGGCCAGAAAAGACTGGTTTGAATGCTCAAAGAGGACAAGGACAAGGGGCCTTTCACAAATGAATCCTAAAAAGCGGCAGGCAGATGTACAACCCAATCAATGGTTGGCCTTCGATTACAAGACTGCACGCATGCTACTCTCCAGTCTTTAGTTTCTTCTTTTAGCTTCTCCACACCTGCAGCATCTGCCAAGTAAAGCACATCAAGTGCAAAGTATTTCAATCACAGCCATCAGCCAGACATTTTACCTGCACAAGAGGTGAGGCAGGTAGCATGAAGCAAAGGTGAAACTTTATTATGGGCTAGCTTCAGGCTTTGCCACCACTAAAGGCAGAGTCACAGAAAAATATCCCTGCCAATTTGTGCATGTCAAAGGCAAACAGAAACAGCTTCTGAATGAAGCACAGTTAGAAGCTTTGCAAGGCCTGGCACATAGGTTTAAATTATCATCACAGCTGTGTTTTAATGAAAAAGGTATTTGCTGTTTCATCTACAGGATTACAAAAGTTTCCTTTAATAGCACTTGAAGAGCCTGGTTAAGCTGATTTCTTGTTATTTGTTCTTTTCAGATGCCGGCTTCCTGCCTTTTCTGCGTCAGCCATCCAAACATCCTGGCATTGCGAGCACGGTCGTTGGTGATCACCCACTTGCAATATTCAAAAGCATCTGTCATTCACCAAGGCAGGAATGAGAAAAAACAATATATTAAATGCCACACACCGAAGAGACAAACAGAAAGACAAGACACTGGAGCACGTCTTGATTAAAGTGTCTTCAGCTTTTCTGCCATCTTCCATGAATTTCCTAAGACCTTCCGACCTTCAGTTTGCACCCTCACATTGTACTTTCTCTTCCACATCTGCTAAGCATTGTTCTCACCCTCACTTACATTCTCCTCACTGTCTTCCCTCTTCTTGAATTAACTGTTTCTTCTTTGTCTTTATAGGAACTGAGATCAGCCCCAGAACAATAAAAAACCTGAAGGAGACAGAAGAATCGCCTGGAGAACTCTCTCTTGTGTTTGGTGGCTGAATTGCAATATTTTGCGGCCATGGAAGGGATGGCAGAGCCAGGCCTCCAGGCTGCCAAAATTGATTCATCTTTACAGAAAAATAACTGATGGGATTTTCCAGTCTTTTGGAATAGGAGAATTTGTCATGCACAAACTAAAAGTCTGAGGTTTCTGATATATACCATACTTGAAGCATGGAGTCCTCTAGGGTAAAACTCTTAAAAGTAAAAAGGTCGGACATTCAAATAAGGGAGATAAGAAGAAAAAGAAAAAAAAAAAAAAAAAAGAAAACATTGATTCTTCCTCTTCTTTACAAAAAAAAAAAAAAAAACACATAGACAGGAGTTGAAAAACTTACTTTCTCAATGGGACATAAAAAGAAAACACCAACTAAAAAAAAAACTGCGTTCCAGGTAAAATCTCAAGAGGAACTAACACTGGCAAAGCTGTGTTTCCCAACAGGAGTGCCTCATTTCCTTGACTAGCAGCATAGGCATTACTGATTCAGAGTCACAAATTTACAAATAAAAGAGTGCAAGGCAAAAGGAAATACATGACTTACATGTGCTCCAGTTCTCTTTGTGTATCTTCCAACGAAATACCCAGCAGCACACAGAGGCCTCGTCCTATTGAACTTATTTGCTCACCACCCACTAGGGAAGAGGAAAAACAAAGATTAAATGCATTGTCTCATTTTATGGCACAGGTAAGTATTAATTTCAGCTGTACAACCACCACAGAAAACATCATTCTGAACCCTTTTTATCAGTCTTACTTTTACTAAAGAGTAAGGCACTGGGACGGGTTGCCCAGGGAAGTGGTGGCATCACTGTCCCTGGGGTGTTCAAGGAAAGGCTGGACGTGGTGCTTGGGGACATGGTTTAGTGGGTGACAGTGGTGGTAGGGGTATGGTTGGACCAGGTCTTTTCCAACCTTAATGATTTGGTGATATGTACGGATAATTCTTCACTGTGAGGGTGGTGAGGCACTGGCACAGGTTGCCCAGAGAAGTTGTGGATGCCCCATCCCTGGAGGTGTTCAAGGCTGGGCTGGATGGGGTTTGAGCAACCTGATGTGGTGGGTGGCATCGCCGTGTGTGGCAGGGGGCTTGGAACATGCTGATCTCTGAGGTCCCTTCCAGAAAGATATCAGAGAAGTCCTCCAAATGCAGGGTCTCAGGAGTGAGGCACCCGCTCACCACACTCACTCCAGCATTTAGGAGCACTGCACACAGCCCACAACCGGCTCAGCAGCGCTACCGAGAGGCACCAGGACTCCCCCCAAACGCAAAAATCCCCCCCAATAAGTTATACCCGCGAATTCACCCCATTTCCCCACGGCTCCCCACACAGCCCGAAGGCTGAGCGAGGTGTGGAAGGGGAGACACGGAGGGGGGGGGGAGAGAGAGGAGGAGGAGGCGGGGGCGGGCGGAGCGTGGCGGGGGCGGGCGGAGCGCCTCCTCCTCTGCCCCCCGCTCCGTGTCCCGCTGCCGGTCCCGGTGTCGCCCACTGACCTGTGACACTGGCCTGTGCCACCCGCTGGACGATGGCCTTCATGGTGGCGCAGCGGAGGCCCGGATCGGGGAGGCTGCGGCGGCGGCGGCGGAGCTGGGCAGGGGAGGCCCGGGGGGGGGCTGGCAGCGTCCCCTGGCGGGGCGGAGGTGCTGCGGCAGCCCTGGAGGGGCGCCGAGGGTGGTGCCGAGAGGGAAGACCCCTAAGGGAAGCCCCCAAACCCTGGGTTTTAGGGTTTTAGGCGAGGAAGCTGCTGGGAGGTACCAGCAGCCTTCTGGAGGAACTCCCTCTGTAGGAATACGGTGTCCGTAGGTGCCCAGGAAACTTCCTGAAGGCAACTTCTTGAAGGCTTCTTGAGGAGGTGGTAGGTGTAGGAACAGGGGGGCCAGTAGTTAAAGTGTGTCTGTAAGTTGAGGGCAATGTGGTATAAAAGCCCCTGTGGAATTTGGGGTGGGGCAGCTGTGTGTATAAAAGTCCCCTACAAGACAGGGGGGAGGGCTGGGAAGCAGCTTTTTATACACCAAAGTGGCATCTGCAGTCTGTGGGGAGGCTGTGTAAAGATAAGCAGCAAGCGGGCATCCTCCTATAAAAGGCCACAGGGAAAGGGGGAAGCCTCTGTAGAAACAGGGAGGTGTCTGCAAGGGCAGAGGCAGTCTCTACAGAAAGGCAGGTCTGCATATGCAGGGAATGCGGTCAGCTTCCTTCAGATGGGAGGCAGCGTACAGGAGAAGCCCCCGAAGAAAGCAGGCTATGTCCACAAGGACATGGGGGAAACCTTATAGAAACAAAAATTACAGTCACAGCAGTGGGAGGCAGAATGTGTAAAGATTAGGGATACCCCTCTACAAACAGGAGCATGGCAGGGGCAACCTCCTTTAAAGGCACCCAGAAGCTCTAAGAGGAGGGGAAACCCCTATAGAAATGAAAGTTAGCAAATTCAGAGAAAGAGGTAATGAGTATAGGGACTGAGGGCAGCTGCACACAGGGTCAAATCACAAGACTTGGTCTCAGTACCTGAACACAGTGCCCACAAAGACCTGCGAGGGGACAGCAGGTCTCTCGTATAGGGGTGCTGTTTGCTATATGAAGCAGTACCCCTGGAGCCACGTTACACAATACAAAGCTTGCTTGGTCTTTCAGAACATTCTTTGTGCTTGTAACAGAACAAGCACCACCACTGAGCTGGGAAATCTCCACAAAAAGCTGCAGCGGGTACATGGTCAGACTACAGGGCGCAGGACACCAAGCAGCACACAGGCTTATTAACACACCACTCTTAGATGAATTATTCACATTTAATAACTTGAACACAAGTGCAAATACAGCACTGATCTAAGCAGGCGAGAAGGTGACAGGTTTTGCAAAGTGATTTCAGTGATGGAGCTGCTGTTTCATCAAAACAAGAGAGAGTTTTTGACTGACGGTGCGATGCCAAGCTCCAGGACAACCTTCTCAGACAAGGCAGCTCTCCCCGAGCAGCACAGAGTTCAGTTTTCCAGACTACTCACTTTTCAGAAGGAGGGCTGTCAGTAGGGTCAAAGAAAGACTTCACACGCCTGAGCAGCCGGGTAGCAGGAGGCACAAAGTCCTTGTTATACGTTGCTACCGTTGTGACTCTTATCCCTATAGGCGTATCTGTAACGACTACTTCCCGCGAATCCGAGTCTTCTACTGGAGAATGATTTTCATTCTCTAAGGCATAAAAGAAAAACAAAAAAAGTTTAGTACTGTAGTGTTTCACTGCTGTGAACATTTCAGTCCTGTTACTTCCCCCCAGCAGCCTGCTGAGGAGGACCTAGCTCGGGGGGGGGCACAGCGAGCCAGCAGCACCCCCGGACCCCCCCCTGCTTCACCCCCCGGGGCCGGGGTCCACATCCAGCACCCCCAACCCCTCAGGCGAGCCCTCCCGGCCCCGTACCGTCCCCGGCCCCGTCGCTGCTGTAGCTGTAGCGTATCATGCCGCCCAGCGCCGTCCATCCGCCCAGCGAGTACACCAAGGCCCAGCGGGCGTTCCACACGGCCGCCCGCGCCGCCATTATCCCCTCACGCCCCCTGAGGGGCGGGACATGGCGGCGCCGCCATTACCGCCCCGCCCTCCGACCCTCCCTCACAGCCTCCCCCAAGAAACCGCTCAGACGATCAGTTTTAGTTTTAATACTTCCTACTGCTTTTTCTTTCTGATTGTTTTTCGGAAGTGGAAAGGAGGAAGGCCAAGCCAATCCAATAACACATTTGGTGCCGTGACTCGGATACGGGTTACCTTGGCACGGGATCCAAGCTCAGGGGAGGCGCCCCCAGCTTCGGATGGCCCCCAGGTGGACGACACCCCGATGAGCCCTGTACCCTAAATCAGGCAAGCAGGCAAAAGAACACTGCAGTACGCCATAATTCTTGTGCACAAAGATCCGTACGAAGGCTCAGGACTGAAATAAGTGTGGTAAGTGGTTCCGCTCGGCCGGGGTGGGATTCCCAAAATGTGCCTGAATGAGATGCTCCTGAGGGGCGAAGTGAGTGTGGACAGCAAGCCTTCGGACCCCATGGGGGACCCAAGGCAGGATTGCCCGATATACCGCCAGATCGTCCCTTGGGGGTAAGGATTGCCCACTGGGAGGATTGGCCGTCCAGACGAGGTGAAAGTAGAGAAAAGGTGGTACGTTACTGTATGCAGGTGTGGGGTGGGAAACGGATAAGAGGAGACCACCTAATACTTAGTCCTAAAGTGGTCCAGTAATGTGTATTGGGATTTATGAAATTGCTAAGAAGATTGTGGGAGAATGCTTAACATGCCAAAAGGTTAATAAATAGCAAGTTAGAGAAAGAATACCCAGAGGGCAGGGACTAGCTAAGAGACCGTTTGAAAAGATGCAAGTTGATTTTACAGAACTTCCCAAGGTTGGGAAGTATAAGTAACAAACCATTTAGCGAACATCAGAGGAAGGATGAGACCCCCACTGAGCGGCTTGAAAGACTACCCTGCCACTCCTGTGAGGCAAGGTCTGGACTCCGGGGCAGAAAGATCTACTGTCCAGACAGTGCCCTGGGGATGCTTACCTTCCCCGGAGAAATTACAAGTAATAGGAGCAAAAGGAGAACCTTTTAAGGTCCTGGTAATAAAGGGAGTAGAAATAGAGGCCCCCTCTCGAATCGGAATAGGATCCTTTTTATTAGTGCCTGAAGCAGAATGTAATCTATTAGGAAATAGCGGTTAAATTATGCACCCTCACTGCGGAGGACAAGGCAAAAATCAAATCCTGAGGTGCGGTACACTCCTGAGTCAGTAGGGAAATTAGACATCACCCCTTTTGAAGTTACCATTAGGAATCCTGAAATCCCCATAAGGGTAAAACAGTAAGAGGAATTACCGAATGGGGAGAAATTATTCGTAGATGGATCATCAAGGGTAATAAATGGGAAAACCAAAATCAGGTTATGCCATAACAGATGGGAACACCTCGGAGGTAAAAGAATCTGGTCCTTTGGACGCAACCAGGTCGGCCCAGGCATGTGAGTTATATGCAGTATTAAGGGCTTTACAGCTGCTGAAAGGAAAGCTGGGGACTGTGTTTACTGACTCTAGCTATGCATTTGGAGTGGTTCACACCTTTGGGAAAATCTGGGAAGAACAAGGGTTAATAAATTCTCAGGGGAAGGGTCTGATACACGAAGCTCTAATAAAACAAACCCTGAAGGCCTTGAGAGGACCTAAACAGATTGCAGTTGTATACGTGAAAGGTCACCAAAGAGGTACCTCTATTTAGGTACCTCTTTGAAATAACTTAGCTGATGAGGAGGCAAAACGGACCACATTACTGGTAATAAAAAGAAGCAGAACAGGTCAGAGAAACAGCAAGAACAGGAGGTAGCAAGAGCTTTACCGCCCAAGAGGCAGAAAAACTGCAATAAATGGGAATCGTTGATAAAGAAGGGAGGTGGGCACTTCCCGATGGCAGGGAAGTTATTCCTAAAGGCATGGAGAATAATGAAAGAATTCCACAGGCAGACCCAATGGGGAGTACAGGCGCCTGTGGCTGAGAACACAACCTCGGACCCATACTGTGATCTCCCCTTTTGAAATGTTGTATGGGATGCCTTATGATTTAGAAATACCAGTTGAACACCCAAAGGTAGAAGAAAAGGTGTTAAAAGAGTAAATCATTGAGCTCATGAAGTGAAGACAGGAGCTAATATAGAAGGGAATGGTAGTACAGAGGCCACCCTTAGATATGGCAATACACAAGATTAAGCCAGGGGGACCATGGTAATGATTAAAGCTTGGAGAGCATCCTCTCTGACACCTCATTGGGAAGGACCCTTTCTCGTTTTACTCACCACAGGCACCGCGGTTCGAACTGTTGAACGAGGATGGACGCGTGCTAGTAGGATAAAGGGACCCGTCCAAGAATCTCACTGGGAGACTGTTAGAAACCCCGACAATCTGAAGATCACGTTCCAGAGAAAAACCGATAGGTGAAACTATCTTCTGTGCTGATTTTTGCATTTGTTTTTGTGCTGACTTCTGTATTTGTTATCCTTTTGTTTGTAAAGAAAAGTGGAGGGTTCATTGCTCCTACGGGTATCTTCCTAGAGGTACTGCGTGTGGGGTGGGGCAACGGGAAAATCATAAAGGAATCCAGAGAGTGGTATTATAAGCCCTGAAAAGATCGCTTCTGTGTAATCAAGCTCTGCCCAACAAAGGCAAAATCCTTCAAGTGTTGTAGAAGGACAGTGGCCAGGATAAGGTGTGGAGCTAGGGGAGTGAAGCCTATTAATTGAGGTGGGCTAAAGATGAAGGAGTTCCCCTGAAGAATACGGTGCTGCCGAGATGGTACCCCAGTTGCTCCAAGCAAAAGAGTAGACGGAGGAGGCAGAGACTAATGCTGGGATCGAGGTTAGTGAACCACCTCCGAAATCAGCCCACGAGGCCCCTTGGAATGCCAGTTCCAAGCCAGTTACCCCGTACCTCCCCACACCTCCCACCTTCTACAGGAAGCAACAAGGGTAAAAGACAAAGTGCCCACCAAGAACTCTGGGATACCCGTAGTAAAGGTAGGACCCCTCCATTTTTCTCGGGCTTAACTTGGTTTGTATGGGTAATGGATTCTGATAATCTGGCTGGATGTAACGAAGGAGAGAAGAGAGCCCCCACCAGCTCTATAAAGTGGAGTTTAATTAGGTGGATGACCAAACTATCATTAAGCAAGGACTACGGCAGGTGCACCAAGTTTCCTCACATCTCTTTGTCAACTAGCACCCATAAGTCCTGTCTGAACCAAAAGGTTTTTACTTCTGCCCCAGCTCGAACCCAGGAAGGGGATATTGCGACTATCCCAACTCCTACTATTGTGCTTATTGGGGTTGTGAAACAATTGCTTCGGATTGGAGTCCAGGAGCAGGGCAGGACCAGTTCCTAACTGTAGGATATGGACCCTACGGGTGTACACCTCCAAGCCGAGACGAGCGGAGGGATTCGGATGCCCTATGGAAATTGCGAACAACTCTACGTAAAT